AATTGTCGGTATAAACATAAAACTACCGCTAAAAATACTTTTAGTGGTAGTCGTGACTGCCGCTAATACTGAATCGACTGCCACTATAAGTTTGGCATACTTTGTTTTAGCGACAGTCGTGGGCAGTCGCGACTGCTGCTAAATCTTTTTTCTTTTTTTAATACAATCCATGATTTCTTTTTAAATTATTCCTGCTTTCCTTCAAATAATCTATTTTGTCTACATTCATCTAAATTATAATGAAATACAAATGTAATTTAAAAGCCTTCAAGTACAAGCAAATTCATTTCCAAGATGCTACAAAGCCTTGGGTGAGAAACTCTAGTTGGGAAAGTTGAAGATTGACAAGAGTGATTTTTAGTGAGAATTGATCGAAAACTTGTGTGTTAATCAACTTGAGTGTTGACCGTTGACTGCTGCAGGCACTTGATGGAGTGTATGCTATGTTAGTTAATCTTTGAGAGACAACCCAAATTAATTATATATATTGTGGTCCAAAACTCTTGCTTTTTTGGCATACTTATTACTGGCAGATTATGAGGAAGGTCAATGGCCTAGGCTCAAACTGCCAAGAGAGTGCAGACTGATCTTACTTAATTTTTGGCATACTTATTACTTATTACTTTGAGAGACTCTCATACTATGATTTATTTATTGTTTAAGTAGAAAACTAGAAATTACTGTATGTACTATGACTTTATATTTGCTTTATCTTACTTAATTAATGGGAAACAAATCAATACCATTTAGATTGGATCGGACTAGTCAAATTTGGTCCAGGTTGGAAAGTCCAATAATACAGTGGGTTGGATTTGGATTGAAGTTCTCTTAATCTTTTTTTTTTTCCTTGTGACATGCTCTTTCTGTTCTGAGTTTGAGAATCCTGGTGATATTTCCAATTTTCTCATATGAAATTTCGTTTCAGTTTGAAAATGCATCAATTTATTTAGTGGGCCAAGCATTTACTTTTTACATGAAATTTGTATTGTAGTCTTGTTATGAGTGGTGGAGCTTACAAATCTTGATTCTCTTGTTAAATTTTCTATGCATATTATCTGAAATAAGGTGACAAAACTGCATGAGCTAAAGTAATATAACAGATATGCTTCTGTGTACCTTGTCTTAAATGTTTAAAGTTTTAGTTTTCTGTATGTCAAGTGGCTTCTGTATGCAAAGTATTAGTTACTTTGCTACTGGTCCAAACAACCAGCACCATTGGCATGCCTGAGAGGCTGAGAGTGGGTTTATGGGACCAATCAAAAGGTTTTTGACTCCAAACACTGGATGGTGTGGGAGTTAAATGTGCTACATCTTTGTCTCCTGTATCATTAAATGTTTTGTCTTCCATTTCTCATACATGGTAGCTGTTCACAATTTAATGTCTCTCCGAGCATAGCTTGACAAAATTTATATTGGATCTCATGAGAAAATTCTGATCAATATCCACCCTTTCTTCCCCTGTGATTGGTATTCGTGCTTCTAGCCTTGTTGTGTAGCCCTAAGTCGAACAATGATTTTTTGTTCTTTCTGTCTTTACCCTTGCTATGGTGCAAATTCCATTTCATTGCCTTCCAAAGTTCTGTACTGAATAACCATTAGGAATTCTGTTCTCAATATTTCCTTATACACAACTCTACAAACAGTGAATTGTTTCTACCCTTTTCTGATGTGTCTAATTAAAGGAAAGTTAGTGAATCAACACCTTTTTTATTTTTCTGCTTTCTGGAGCAGCTAGATGCTACAATTTTATCATATTTAAGGGGCTGGACAATTACAGCCCAAAGGTGAAAACTTCTTACCTACCTCACTACCTAGGCCAAGTAAGAGAAAGCAAAAGACCATTTATCAGAACCGGATCAGAAGTCAAGTAAAATCAATCAGAAAGCTCACTAGATCACACTCTTGTTTTAACTTTGAAAGCTACATTAATTTGTTCTGTAATGCATGTTTGTAACCTAACAAATCTGCTATTCTCAGGTATTTGCTCAACATCTATTCAGGTTTGTGGAAAACCGGTGCATCACCCACTGGCTGTCAAATGGATCCATAACATCGGAACATGCCGTAAGAATTCCTTTATATGGAAAATACTACATCAACTTCTTTCGGGTGGTTTGGAGAATGGTTTATGTGATTTCAGAACTTTTATTCTTTGGTTGTAGCTGTTCATCCATCCTCTTGATGGTACTTGATCAAATGGCTAAGTTGGTGAAGTCCACCAAGTGTTGCACTAGGAATATGGTCCTGCTAATATGAACAATTTCTTTAGGAAATGATATTTTTTTTGTGTTTGATTGCAGATGGAGATGGAAACAATTTTGTTTATTTTCTAAGGAATTAGGGAAATAATTAATTCCTTATTGAGTATTATTTTCGGAGGAAAACATTTTGTTTCCCTTCATCATTTTAGTTGCAACCAAAACTGGAATATTGTAACTCATTGTTTGCTGATTCGGAAAGGAGAATTTTCTCAGTGAAGTAATTCACAATCATCCTCTACTCGTTGAAATTGATTCTGAATCAGCATATGTATCTATTTAAGTGTTTTTTTAATTACCACTAGTTACTATCAAATTCTAGTTTTTATCATCTTTTTGAATGATAGTGTGTAGTGTCCACCAAAACTACATTCACATAACCATACATCAATTATTCATATGCATGTATCATGCATTCTTATGATTCAGAACTTACCAAATGTATGGCCCTTGGTAAAGTAGAATAGAAAAATAGGATTCATGTGGTGGATGGCATTTATCTGGGATAATGTTTAGTTTTAATTGTTTGAACATTTTCATTATATTATGATTTATAGTTTTTCATTTAGTGTTTTCGAATATCATTCTACACCTGGAGTCAATAAATTGATCAGTCATTCTCCGGAGCAGATTATTGGCCCTTGCTTCATGCTTGCCACTGACAACATTTTGGATCTTTTTGTTCCTTCCTATAAGAAGCTTGCTTTCCATTAAAGGCTTCTCCTCATCATATCATTCATTAACAAATTTCATTTTACTTGTTTTTGGATCTATAATGTGGCTTTGGCCCCCATTGGGGATATTGCTAGACCTGTAACTAACAGGTTAGTGTTAGTAGGAACTCAGGTGGGGATATTGCAGGGTGCACATCAGGTCCACTGGCCATACCATGGAGAGCCTGCAATTCTGCAAGGTCAATCCCATGTTTCCATTTGGGGAGTGATGCCCAGTGACCACCTCAAAAGGAATTGTTTTTCAATCTTTAATATGCTAGAAGACCTTTCATTCAATCTTTAATATGCCCAGTGACCACCTCAAAATGTTGGAAAAGGATAAGAAAATGAGGGCATTTGAGTGAAGTTGTAATGTCAGGAGAAGAAAATTCGTGTTTCATTTAATTTAGATTGGATTGGGTCAATTCAGTCCATTTGCATTTCAATTAGACTGGATTAGATCCGGTTTGTATGGGGTTTGGACCGGAATCGGTCCAATCCATTTACAAATGGACCAATGGTAAACCGGATCGGATTGGACCAAATCTAGTCCAATTGACAGCCCTAGTGGCATGTCCTATTGAATGCTGTATCCTGATTCATCATACATGAGATAAAGACATGACAAGTTTAATCTTGTTTGTTTGTTTTTTTTTTTTTTTTTCTCTTTTCACTACTACTAATCAACAATCTTGATCCATTCAGAATTATAAGCGTAGTTATAGATAGCACTGTCATCTTTCATTGCACCATTTCAGTACTTCAATAGAGACATGGTAAGCTATTAAGGTCCAAATCCATCCATGGGTCCTCTGTTGCCAGACTCAATGCTCCCTAAAATCATTAAATAAATGTTAATCCTCTTTTGGCAAGACATCTAGTGGATGTCACTTGGTCAGATTAAATAGTAAACCCCCAATATTTACCTGATCCTATCAGGTAAGGGTCAGCCCAGCCTTAATTGGGGCTTGGTTTAACCCCTTTGATTTTTTTGGTAGAATACCAGATCCAACCCTATAAAATTTGATAAATACCAGCAGCTAATTGGTTATCACTTTTATATACTGATTAATTGGTTGCAAATATTTTCAGTATCATAGTCGAATCGTTTTATATAAATTGTTAATTATACCATGACCAAAATTCCCCATGTTAAAAGACAAACATCTTTGACTTGGATACTGGTAAAAACAATAGAAAGATAGTGATAATGTATTTCTAATCTTTTTTTTTTTTTTTGCGTTATTACTCATTTTATTAGGATTAGCATTAGAATCCATCAAATTACTATATTGGGTTACATTATTTCTAATCGTATTTTAGAAATATTGTTAATTAAGGGTGTTGTGGTCCTTGGAAAACAAAGGGATGTGCCAAAATTATTCCGTTTAAAATTTAAGCATCAAAGAATGCTAGCATGGCATTATCTGATTTGATGTATAAAAATATCTTGAGAAAGGATTATTCAAGAGATCTGAACTCTTCATGGGCTGCCTAATAGATGCCCTTAGTCAAAATAGAAACTTAAATAAGGCAACCTGGATATATGAATTTAATTAGGAGATAAGAAGGGTTGTCTAAAGTTTTAATGGAGAAGTAGGGGTGTAAATTGGCATCAATTCCGAACTGATACCTACCCCAACTGTACTTTATGCTTATAAATTCTGAGCCTGTGCTGAACTGTCATTCTCTCAAGTTTTAATTGTAATAATCTTTTCATCAATTTTGAGTCCTTTCGTAGAGATTGTAGGCGAATTGGTTTCCCTTACGGTAGTAAAGAAGTGAGAATCAGACTTGAGAGAGAGATGAGCCCCCATGCTTTTAGGTCGCCATCTCCTTGGCCACATAAAAATGATAAAATGAAACATAAACTAGTGGATATTCCACGTGGAAAATCAAGAGGATTGAGAGATGACATTTGGCCCATTTACACAAGAGAAATCAAATTCCATTGGCGAATGGGAATCAATATCCGGATTCGCCTATATCCTTGCCGCTTCTTCCCTTCTACTACTACAAACTGCTCACTGGTGGTTTCACTTCACATCCCTCTCAGCTCAGTAGCTCAGTAGCTCACTGCCCATCACACATTCAAACCTCACCTCCACAAGCAGTTCCAATTCCGGCAATGGCGTCGTCCGCGTTGAGGAGCTGCGGTGTTGCAGCCGTTTTCCCGTCCGCCCTCTCTTCTTCGAGATCCAAGTTCGCCACTGCAATTGCCCTCCCTGGTGTCTCCTCTAATGCCTCCTCACGCTTCACCATGTCCGCCGAGTGGATGCCTGGTCAGCCTCGCCCACCTTACCTCGATGGCTCCGCACCAGGGTAAACTAACTTATATATGATCATTAATTTCTTCTCTTATACGTAATTTATTTAGGCTTAGCATCTCAATGACGATCTATATGTTTTTTGCCCGTTCGATCCGTTTCAGTGACTATGGGTTCGATCCTCTTCGGCTAGGTGAGGTCCCAGAAAACCTGGAGAGATTCAAGGAATCTGAACTCATTCACTGCAGATGGGCAATGCTTGCAGTGGTAAGTTTGTAGTTGCTAATTAACTACATGCATTTATGCGTTAGATATCCAAGGAAAAAAAGGGATATATACAGAAAGAATTGTAATTGAAGTTTTTCATCCCCAAAAGGCCAAACTTAATTTCCTTTCTGAAAAAACAAACCTTGAGAAATTCATTTGGAATGTGTAAACTTGTCAGAATGTCTAATTATGTCAGTTTGATCTGTTAATTGCTGTTTAATTATGTTCTTCTTTCCATTTTTTAAGAAAGAAATTGTTGATCTGATTAAGCTGTTGGCCCTGCCTTGTGATTGCAGCCAGGGATGTTGGTGCCAGAGGCGCTAGGATTAGGAAACTGGGTGAAGGCACAGGAGTGGGCTGCAGTGCCGGGAGGGCAAGCAACCTACCTGGGCAACCCAGTGCCATGGGGAACCCTCCCAACCATCCTGGTCATAGAATTCCTTGGCATAGCCTTCGTGGAGCACCAACGCAGCATGGAGAAAGACCCAGAGAAGAAGAAATACCCAGGTGGTGCCTTTGACCCGCTCGGCTTCTCCAAGGACCCCGTCAAATTCAAGGAATACAAAATCAAGGAAATTAAGAATGGTTTCTACTCCCTCCCCCTCCACTCCTCCTTCAATAATTAATTAGTGCTGCTACCCTCATTCCCTTATATTTACTCTTTATTTTGTAATAACTAACCATTCTTTTTTAATCTGCCTACTTTCTCAGGTCGTCTTGCTTTGTTGGCCTTTGTAGGCTTCTGTGTCCAACAGTCGGCTTATCCAGGAACAGGCCCATTGGAGAATCTGGCAACCCACTTGGCTGACCCATGGCACAACAACATTGGGGATGTCCTGATCCCCAGATCAATTTTTCCTTGATCACACCATGCATATTGTTAATTCCAACTGTACAATTATCCATTCATTTTTCTATGATGATGAATTAGAATTATATTCCATATCTTGAACTGTCCCATTTATTTATTTTTCGACCTATTTATACATCCTCACCCAAACACAATATGCGTTCTCAGTTCTCTCATGCCTACTTAAACCTTTTCAATTCCCCTCAAATCATCAAAAGGTTAAAATGGAAACTACATGAAATGGAATATTAATTCTTCTCATTTTCATTCGCCACGGGAAAAACAAAATCGTATACTCGTAATCTGAAAACTAATCTTATGAGCAACGTCTTACAAATCAATTGTGTATTTGTTAAATCAACAGTCAACACGTTGAAGCAACGGCACGAATTAAATGCGGTAATATCCAAAGCATTGGAACAAGTGCTATTATCTAAACTCATCTGCTTTCTTGTTTTCTAGTTAGTAGATCAACCCATTAATTTAAGATTGTGCTTGGTATCATTGCCATAAAGTTGTAACGTTTTAGTTTGATCAATACTTCAATACAAATTTTATGTGAATATTTATTCTTTTATCGCAAATGTTTTAAGTTATCAATGCAACAACATGTGATAATATTGTATTTAGGAAACATTAAATTTAGTATTTATATTATAAATGCTAATCTCTAATCTAATGCCTATATTTTTTTAGTAGAAATGGTTATCTGATTTAGTGTAATAAGCCTGGGAACCATTATGGGGTCTGGTTTTTGGGTTGAACAGTCCGACCATCTGGTCTGAATGGACAGCCTTCTCTAACAAACAAATGAAAAACTTAAATAAAAAAAAAAAAAACAAAAATGGCCAAAAAATTGTTGTTCGGGTTGGCAGTTTGATGGTCTGACCGCCCGGGTCAGTGGTTCACTGACCAAAACAATGATTTTTTGTCAAAAATCGGTTTTGAGGTAAAACGGAACCGATTAAATGACTGATTCCCATTTTTCCAGTCCGACCGTCCAATCTAGTCCGGTTTTAAAAACACTGGTGGCAATGGTACCAAACACAACATAGTTAGTATTGCAATAAGTTCATGTCTTCATAAAATTGTGTCAAAAATGTGTTTTGAGCACGCGTTTGGCAAGAATAGTTGCTTTGAAAACATTATAGCCCGAACCCAAATCACTTTTATATCACAAAGCAAAAGCATAAAGCCTAGAATTGAGATTTTGCACTTTTCGCTTTAGAAGCACAGATCCTGAAACTTGTCTAAACACAATACAATTCACAATATGTGATACTTCGGCCATTCAATATTGAAATCTTTGAAAGGGAAATTGTGGAATCTACAACCCCAAGCACTCTGGCCTACCCTTTTCTTTGGCGGTTTGGCCAAACTCCTTGCATTTGTTGTTTTATTCAAGCATCTAATTAACATTTATTAATTACTTCTCCCGTGACTCCTGGTTTTACTGCAACTGTGGTGCTGTTTAGGTGAAAATCTGCCTCTTAGCTCAAGGACACATGAAAGAAATATGCTTTGGTGATACTGGCACTTTTCCACGAAAATTTCGTGTAATGAACTGGTCTAACTTACTGTGGTAAAGCTGCAGTCTGCAGATGTATGGGCCCTATGTTTCTTTGTATTATATATATGGTGTTGGTGGCTGGTCATTACCCATTTCTTGCTGAGAAAACTACAGGGGACACATGATAAGGAGTCTTATGTTGTTGTTTCTGTGATAAACGGATAATCATTCATTTATTTATTTTCGTGAGCATTTCATGTGGTAATAATTGAAGAGATATTTCTTATATACAATCTTGTTTAGATGAAGATCAACTTGTTAGAAGGGCTTCTCTGGTGAATTTCTTTGACAAGTATGATTCCAATAACCAATCAAATGAAAAGAGGAAAAACATCCAGAGCTTATTATCAGTTCTCCATTTCCAGTATATCTTTTCTACCTCTTGTTTTTTGTTTTTACATTTTCAAAAATTTCCCCGGAAATGGTATGTATTGTGCGGACCCAAAAGAAAGGTCGACATTGGAGCAGGCTCAGCAGAGGGACTGATCCCTCAGTAATCAGTATAGCTGCCGGTGCAAGCATACAAACCTGCTATCTTTATTAGGTTGTTTTTGTATAGTAGAAAAAAGCTATGGATTTTACTCTGGAGTTTGCCTCCTTGGTTTCGTAAAAAGAGGGGGAAAGATTTTGGGGTTTGTTATTTATTATTTAAATTTAGGAGGGTCTTGACCCTCAGTGGGGACCGGGGAGGAGAGAATTCGGCTTCAGTCAGTGCAAGGCCTGTTCGAACATTCTATGGCCTTGCATATTGGGGAGTTATCTCCCCATAAAATAAGGTACGTGAGATATTCCCGGTGCAAGGCTAAAATCTAAAAAGGCTGTTCGAACACGGGCCTTGCACTGACTGAAGGCGAGATGGTTTCATAAGGGAAGTAAGACGATGCTTTTTTTTACCATTTTGGCTTTTTATGAAAAACTTTCTCCGCACGTTGTCTTTGATTTGGTAGAAACTTAAGAGAGAAACAGAAAGTCAGGGAAAGTTCTTATTTTTTTAATGCCTGATTTTTTTGCAATGTAATTTCATTTGCCCTGAAGTAAAAATATAGAATGCAAAATTATTTGACTGCAAATTTGATTTACTTTTGCTTTAATTTTCCTTACTTTTTTTTTTTTTTGCAGTGCAGATGAAGTAAAATAAAACATGAAACCAAGTGAAATAAAAAATAGAAGCAAAAATGGACCAAATTGGGCCCTATTTTGCATTGTTGTTATGCATTTGTAGACCTGTAGTTTGTACTAGTACAAATATACTGCAAAGTGGGCCTAAATTATTGGCCGCAGGCCAGGCCCATAAATTCCCGGACCTGGGCCGAGTTAGAAATGATCACGTCCAGACGAATGGAGTAATATATCATTCATTCATTCTGTAGAGTGTACAAGCAGATTTATTTGGGGCCCATTTGATGATGGGTTTTGTTGATGCTCCAAAAAATGAGGCAATCAAGAAGTTATGGGGCCCCAAAATCCATATACGTGTCCCGTGTCTGACTAAAAACTAGCCGCCATCGTGCGCTAGTCCTTACTTGGCGAAAAAGTAAAAAATAAAGTGGTAGATCATAGAAGATTTGGCAGAGTGACCAAGTCACTATCGTGTTTGAGTTTTAGGCCAAAGGACAACCCAACTCGAGTGGAGGGCTTCAGGCTCGCTTGTGCGTAGGTTGTGTCATCATTTATGTAAAGGGACGAAGGGCGCCCACTCGGATTCACACACGCACATCCTACAATGCATTCCCGTACTTATTAGTTATTATTTACGGGATATATTCTCAATACACGGTGGATGTGATTGTGAGGCGCTCATTTGTGAGGACTATGGTTTTTAAAATCGAACCAGTGACCGAAGTGGTCAAGGGTCCGGTTATTGGTTCGAATGGTCAGTCAGCCCATTTTGATAAAAAAATAAAAAATTAAAAAACAATTAAAACCATTTGAACGATTAACCGGCCGGGTCAGTGGTTTGCTGACCAAAATCAACGGTTTTGGGAAAAAAAGTAGTTATGGGGGAAACCATGGTGAGGATTCTGTTCTGACCGTCTGGTCTGGTTCGGTTTTGAAAACCATGGTGAGGATCTGATCTCGGCTCATATACCACCGAGTCTGGAGTCTGAATCTGCTACAAATAAGATAAATAAGAGTTCACAATGTCCCATAACGCATCCCCACTGTGTATTGGGAACATCTCCCGATGATAATACCAAACCCGATGATGTCATCATCAGGAGATGTTCCTAATACAAGGTGGGGATGCATTGTGGGACATTGTGGGGCGCCCCGTTGTGGGATGCAAATTTGAACTCAATAAATAAGATAGGAGCCAACTTCAGATCTACTCCCGACAAATGTTCTCAACACTGTCCTAAGTCCTAACAAGTCATTATAGTCGCACATCGGGAATATCTCCCCGTGAACGATAATGGAGAGATGTTCCGATTTCCGGATCTCCTGCCCACACAAACTCTGTCCACGTTTATCACAACCACACATGGAGAACACCTCAACCTCTACATAGTATTATGCAGGGGGAGATGTTCCCAATTCATAGGGGTAGTGTGTTGTGGGCCGGAGATCCGGAGTTAGATATTCTTGGCTGCAGTGGCATGTTGGGAGAGTATGAGTAGTAGATCCCAATTCACATTGAGATGTGGGGTGGGGTGTTTGTGGGGCACAGGTGTGAACTCAGCAGATCCTTGTACATCTGCCAATAAAATAAGTTTCAACATTCTCTCAATGAACTGCGATCTACAATTTGTGAGTTGTTCTCACATTTACAAGTAATTACAGCTGTACATCGGGAATATCTTCTTTTATCATTTATAGAAAGATATCACTAAGCCAAATTTGAACAACTCATAAAAAGCTCAACTTGTTTCACCCCTGACTATACATCTCACCAAGCCACCATAAGACTGAGGCCCATTATGACCTATCATATTCGATTTGGAAGGGTGTTGTAATGTATTTTATTGGCAGCCCAACTTGATCCCGACTTCCGAGTCGATATGCAACGTAACGCCATGACTTGTCATCGATCTCACATACTTGTCCTGCCCCCACTCCTCGTACCACCCAGCTTTATCCTTCTTCACAAGAGTCTCATGTCATTGATCACATACCGGTCTGGGTCGGGTAGATAATAATAATAATAATAGAGTTTATAATTTGAGTATAATATATGGTAAGTAATTGTACTAGTGATGGCAAATAGAAATGATATTAAGACTATATCTAGACAAACCCAGCTTAGATCTACTATGCTGATTGAGTTAAAATGAACTGCATTAAAGTTAGCTCATGAATTTAATGGTCCGGCTCTACTTCTAAGTAAATGAAAGTTTTCAAAATTTTAGAAAATTGGATCAAATTTTAAATATTTTATATTACTTTGTATTTTAGTATTACATCCAAAATTTTGGCTGAAATAAGCTCTGCTTGAAACTCAAAAGTTCAAAATTTTGGTCGAAATTATCCTACCCACTAGCATTTTTCATTGATGCTTTAGGTTAGTGCATTCTCAAATCGAAGTTT